GGAAGCAGTGAGCGATGGCCCAAGTCCCAGCCCGGCCTGGCCCCAGCCCCTGTGGCCATTTGGTGAGCAAACCAGCAAGATGGAAGATCGCTCTTAAAAAAAGACAAAAGGAGCAACCCCTCCCCCAAAGACCCACCATTCGGTTGAACATAATTAAAGGCACATAAGCCAAGGTGGCTACTCGTGTGGCTTTAATGACCACATACAGGGCGCTTCAAAAAGTTGATGGATTTCACAGCTTTTGCACTGAAATAAACTTATCTTTTAATTCCACTTCGCCCTGTACTTGTGGTGACCAAGTAACCGAAGGCTCCGTACGAACTCCACTCGAGAGGCAGCGTGGCCCCTGCCTGTCTCAGAGGAGGAGCACAGAGGGGCCCTGCCCACCTCACCACCCAGGTGCAGAGCACAGCAACGAGACCACGACGCGAAGCAAAATACAGTACAAATTTATTGACTCCAATCGCCTCAGTTAAGGTTAAGCAAAGTAAACGGAAAACAGAATCGGGTACAAGCAAGCCATGGATTAACTTCCAATAGAAATCCCACCGCACCACGAACCAGCGAGTCCAAAAGCGCTCATCCCTAAGTAACACTGAACGGACTCCGCTAAGGCATAGGATGACAAAACAGTTATAAAACCACTCATTTGTCACAACAAATACGTACTCGGTGGAAAACTGCAAAGTCTTGGATTAAGGTCAGTAAGAAATGACAACTCGTATGAACCACGGAGGGCTTTGTGGGGAGCCTGGGCAGCACAGAACCCGGAGCCCTGAGTTCACCTGTTACAGTAAAACACTTTGGTTCCCAAATGACTGCTTCTGAAGGAATCTGAACACCCTGCCGTTACCGCATTTTTCTCCCCCCCCCAGAACCCAGACGCGGATTCTCCCCGTCGTGGCGGGGCCGGGGGGCGCCTGGGAATTGCACAAACACCCAAGTGTCTTAAAGTGCGGAAGCCACGGGGGAGGGGAAAACCTGCGCGAGAAACTCAAGCTCGGTAGCCAGTGTTACAGGACACTTCCGGCGTCATTCTCGCCAACACCGCCTTCCGACCTCAGAGGCCTCGGACTGGGGGGCTGATTTGTAATATTCTAGTCATGGCTGACCAGACCATTCAAAGTGAAATGTTAGGAATGATGAATAGTTTTTGTACTAAGAAAATCTGGGTAATCTTACTTCATAAGAAGTTCCAGGTTATGACGTGCACACACACACACACACACACACGCAACAAAGGCCAACTTTGGTTCTGCTGCTTCTCTGCCGCGCTGACCGAGCCCTCCCTCGGTCTCGCCGGCAGCCGCTGCTCTCCCCAGCACCAGTGGGGGCCACGTGTGGCTCTGAGGGCGCCGAGGACCAATTTTCACAGAGGAGGGGAAAAACAAACGATCCACCCCGAACACCCAGGAGTCACGCTCACCTCTCCACAAACGCAAACAAGTCACTGAACGGTTCTGGCAAAGTGACAAACGCAGGCCAACTCCAACCAGTTTAAAGTGAACACTGGGCGCTCCAGCCTGCACCAGGACAGCCTAGAGGTCGCGGTGTTGGTTATCTCACGTTTCCTGTGATCCCCCGCCCCCACATAAAGAAAATGACTCCGTAAGATTTTTAGATTAACAAAGAATATATTAAAACATTTTACATTCTTTCCACAACTGCATAAAAAAGCAGGCATCCTCAATACTTACAAGGAACAGTGCGCTTTCTACACATCCAGAAATTAATTACAGTCGGGAAAAACGTCCCCCAGAGTGTCTCCCCCAGCCACGGAGCTCCGGTAAGAAAAGGCCAACGCCTGCCTACAGGCAGTCAACACTCTCTGACTGAATAAAACAACTAATGTGTCTTTTATCATTCTACTTCGCAACATTTAAAATAGTTTACACGAGTAGAAGCATATTTTATTTTTTTGACCACCAAAATAAACTCTTTCAGCCTACTGCTTTTTAAGGTACAGTATAAAAAGTAATAGAAAACCCAGAACTGCGGTATAAATGTTTTTGGTTCAAAATTTTAGTTGAAATCTTCTATTTCCTGCCTAGACAAAAAGGTGAATACGGAACACTGGTAACTGTTTAAATCTAACATGTTATGCAGTCTATATTTAGATCAAAAATATTTTTTTTTTACTGATTAACAGCACTATTCTTAAAAAAATCTTCAAAAGTGTAGAATAAAGGTTCAAGTCCTAGGATAGTGAGTTTACAAAGCCAAGACAGTAGGTGTCACGGAATCATCATGGCTGCTCTCACGCCACACATGCGCGTACTGAGGGAAACGTCTCTTTTTGAAGCAGTGACAGCTACCAAGACGTCCAGGTGAGAGACGCCACGCGTTCCCCTGGTCTCACTCTAAGATGCATGATCTCCTCAGGAAACAATCAGTAACTGAATCTCGTTTTATTTTCCTTTTCCCAACGAAGAACAAAACAGTAACTACTAAAGTACTTTGGGATTTTTTTTCCCCAAGCGAAAGAATAAAAGGAAAATTTCACATAGCATTTCTGTACCGCACAGAGTCAATTAGTATTTCATGCGAATGCTCCTTCTTCAGCCCCTGTCCCCCCGCTGGCGTGGACGTGGGCACCCGACTGCGGGCAGAGCGCTCGTCTCAAGCACAGACTCGGGGCGACCACAGCACGGGGCTCATTTTTCTATCTGAAAGACCAGCTTGTAAGAGACTTAGAAAACTGAAGTTTTAATTGGGATCACGACCTTAGACGACTGTGGCTTCACAATTTCTTTCACATCTCTAACTCCCCCCATACGGTGAAATCAAAGGTTGCCTTTCCCAACACCGCATGGAACTTTGGGTAAGACCTACGGCACGGCGTTCAGTGGCAACTTATACAGAACAGGAGAAAGGGGAACAAAAGAGCCCAAACCCTGTGGGCCAAAAGTAGCAAAAACTAACGCTGGACCCTTGGTAGCTCACGTTCACGAGACACTGAACAGGGACGGAGCGGCACAGTAACCGTAGACTCCCACAAGTCCCGCCAGAGATGACCGCACAGGACAGAGGCAAGACAAGGGGTCTCCTGTGGGGGGATCTGCCTGTGGATGGCCCTGACCTCGTCTGTCGCTCAAACCAGTGCCACACGTCGGCTAGCCTCTGCGCCAGCTGCACTCGGGGTTTTCGGTGTGTGACAGCTTCAAATCAGAGGAAACCAGAGGCCCTCGAGGGTCTGCGCCTGGGCTGGCCGACCCCGACGGCGGGCGTCCCTGCGCTCGCCGAGGCCACAGGTGGACTCCGCGATCCTCCCACTTCCCAGCTTCCCTCAGGTCTGGCCCTCGCGCCTTACGTCAGGTGGCTGAGAGCAAGTTCTGCCATTTTGTAAAAATCTAAAGTGTTACTATTGCTGATTTAAAGTTTTACAATTTTCATACAAAAGATCTACATGACCACAAAATACCAAATATTTTTTATCAAGTGTCAGGATAACTTATTAAAGTTGAGGTTTTATCATCTTTTTATTGCTAAAGTGTTCTAAGATCTAAATCCAGACAGCACACTGCCCCACTTCCTGATACAGCTGTGGGCTTGAGCACGTGGCTGCGATTTGCCAGGACTTGGGTGTTGGAATCATCAAAAGAAGAAATTCTTTGACAGCTTTCCATTAGTTACAAATCAGTAAAAAAAAAAAAAAAAAAAAGAAAAAAGAAAAGAGAAACCAGAAACCTCAATTAAATGATTATACTGACACCTTGGAATGAGCAACCATGCAAACAACCAAGTAATCCAACTTCAACGATAACGAAATCAAACTATCTTGTTACTGTAAGGTCTGGAACCACAGTATATTTATTCTAAAGTTGAGTAAGGACAGTACTAATGAACACCAATTTTATCTCAAACTTAAAATTCAAGCATAACAATTTCCAACCCTTGTTACTTTTTTGAAAAATATTTTGTTTGTTTCTCATGACACATTTCACAACTCAGGTGACCTCTGGAGAGGGCCTCCCGTTTCGTAACCAGGAGCGAGCGCTGATCTTTCAATTGTGTGTTTGTTCGTGACTCCAAAGACTGAATGCGGTTTTGAAAGTCCTGTGGCAGAGTTTGCACATAAACTGCCTCTTGAATGTGATGGCCGAGAGGGGCGGGGCGTGGTAAAAGAGGGTGTCCGATTCCTGGGGTGCAAACAGTTTGTCCGTGGCCGGAGTGGGGTTTTCGGACAGGCCCGTGGGGCTGTCAGGCTCCAGGGGCTGGATCTTGGGCAGGGCTGGGGGTAGAGGCGGGGGCGAGGGCGAGTTCGTGGGAATGGGGCACGCTGCTTCCGATTCCTTGTGCGCCGACTCCTCTGTCGCCTGAGACATGTGGGACTGGAAGTGACTCCAGAGCCGGAAATTCGTGCGGAACGCTTTGTGGCACACGTGGCAGATGAACGGCTTCACGGAGCACAGCAGCTCCTGGTGCCGCTCCAGCTGCTTGTGCACGGTGAACGTCTTGCCGCACTTCTCGCAGGGCCACAAGCCCGCGTCCTTGCTGGCGGCCGCCTCCCGGGGGGCGGGGCTGGCCTCGGGCGCCGCGTCCTCGGCCTCTGGCGCGGGCTCCTCTTTGACTTGGATTTTCAGCTGCTTGCAAAGGCTGAGGTCTTCGGGGAGGCAGGCGGAATCCTCCGAGTCGAAGTTGACCTGCTCCGAGGAGTCACTGAACACGCTGTCGTCCTTGGCGGCGGCCACGTGGTTCCCCTTGCTGGGCTCGGGCGGGGGCTGGGGCCTGGAGGCGCCAGTGGCTTCGCCGTCGTGGTCCAGGGCGGGCAAGGGGGAGTTCTCGCAGGGGGCCATGCTGTTCTGGTTGTGCACCTCCACCTGGTGCCGCCAGATGCTGAAGGAGGACTTGAAGGTGCGCATGCACTCCAGGCAGGTCAGCTTCCGGTACTCGCACCTGTCCTCGTGCTCCTGCTTCAGCTCGGGCGAAAAGAACCTGAGGCTGCAGTAGGGGCACACGGTGGCGTTCCGGCACGAGCGCTCGTGGCTTCCTTGCTCTACGAGAGAAGAGAGCTTAGCATTACAGAGGCGGCACTGGAAAACCTCCTTGTTCTCTACCGGGCTGGCGAGAGGAGCCTGCGCTTCTGGCTTAACCGCTTTATTGACTCCTGGGGGTTTCTCTCCCGGGTGCCTTTTTATGTGCTGCTTAAATTGCGAGAGAAAGCGGAAGGCTTTTCCACAGGGAGTGCAAGTGTGTGCTCCTTTGGCCCGCGACCGCAAGTTCCTCTTGATGCCTTGCTGCGCCTGCGCGCTACTCTGGCCCGGGAGCCCGGGCTTGCCGCGCCTCAGCCTAAGCACCAGCGCCTTCTTAATCTCTCTCTCCCTCACTATGTCAATCAGCTTTCTCTGGAATTTCTCATCCAAGACCGCGTGGGAGCTCGCGGCTGGTGACGGGTTCTTCACTATGCCGTGTTGGGTCTGACAGTGTGTCCAGACTTTGAAGTTGGTGTGAAACCTCTTGTGACAGATGTCACAAGCGTAGGGCTTCTCTGGGTTATGGTACATGTTAGTGTGGCGGTGGAGGCCCGCCGTTGATCTAAAGATCTTAAGGCAGTGTTTGCACTTAAACTTTCTGTTTGGTCTCGTCCCCTCCAACTCACCAAATTCGTCTTTATTCAAATCAGAATCTGGAAAATGATCGGCGTTGAGGAGGGTGGGGCTCGAGCCCTCCTCGAAGTGATCGTCCGGCACCGGCGACCCATGCTCGCTCGCCCTGGGCTTCTTGGGGGGCAGCCGCCTGTCCGCCTGGAACCTCCTCTTGGCCGGGAGCCTGCTCATGTCCTTAACGTCGTCTTCTGTTTTGACAGGCAGGTCTCTCGTGACCAGCGGCGACGAGGCTGCGGCCGCGGCGGCGTCCCCCACGGTGACCCGGATGATGTCCGAGGGCTCCGAGAGCGGGCTGCTGGGCTCTGTCTTTATGCGCACCTCTGACACCGGGGAGGCCCCCTCCCTGTCCGTGGACTGCGAGGCGCTGAAGGACCGGAGGCGATGAGGGCTGCAGCACCGGAGGCCTGTCGTCCAGGGCCGGCTTCTCGCCGCCGTCTCTCGAAGACGACTTCTGCGACAAGCGCGCAGAAGACACCCCCTGCTGCGTCGCCGGACAGCACGGGTGCTCCCTGGGGGGACTTCAGCTCTATGGAGGGCGAGTAGACGGGAACCTGGCTGTCCATCGACAGGGACCGTCGCAGCAGGCTCTTGACCAGCGGGCCGCTCCTGTCGACGCTCTGGTTGGCGGGCCGCGGCGTGCCGGAGGGGATCACCAGGCCCAGCTTGGAGTAGTACAGCAGGTTTCTGTCCTCGCCCTGGCTGCCGCCCTGGTTGGTTTCCTTTACCAGGTAGGGGGTCTCGGACGCGCTGCGGAGGGCCAGGACAGGCGGCCGCGGTCTCCTCAGAGCCAGCTCTATGGCTTTCCCTTTGGGAAGCTGCGCGCCCGCGCCCACCTTCTCATCGGCGCCGTCCCTGTCCGGGGGTGGCTTGGAAGGCAGCGCCGCGTTCCTCTTCCCCAGACCGCTCCTGGTAGCGTCCGCCAGGGAGCCGGGCTGCTCGGGAGCCTTGGCCGGCCCCACACAGCTATCTTTGGGCCAGGTCTTCTCCGTGAACGCCAAGCCGTGGATCTGCTCGGCGGGCTTTGGCGCGTGTGGCTTCCCGGCGCTGGCCTTCCCCGGCGCGCTGGCGGAGGGCCGGGAACCCTGGCCGAGGTCCGGCTGGTTCTGCCCGGCGGCTTTTCCTGGCGTGTCATTCCTGCTCTGACAAACGATGACACTTCTCTTCTGAGAACTGTTCTCGTCGTCGTCCGCGAACGCCTTCCTCCTGTTGGGACGCGCCGGGAAGGGGGCGTGAGGGGTCTTGGAAACGATGTTGGTCAGGAAGGAGATCCCCAGGCTGTAGCCCAGCTCCTGCACGGCGGCGAGGCTGCTCTTCTCCACGAACAGCGAGGAGGAGTAGATGTAGTTCAGCACGTTGTCGAAAGCATCTGGCTCGCAGAAGTCGAGCTGGAACACGGTCTGCGCCTCGTTCTCCTTGTTGGTGAATAAACTCTGGAAGTACTCGCTGCTGGCGGCCAGCACGTTCTTGTGCGCGCGGAACTTCTGGTCGCCCACGATGAGCAGCACGTCGCACAGCTGCCCCTTGAGGCGCTCCTCGTTGAGGGCGCTCAGGAGGGAGATGGCGTGCGCCGGGTTGATGTAGTGCAGCAGCCCCTCCATCGCACGCCCGTCTGAAAGACACAAGGAGCAGCGGTCAAGGCTCCGCGCTGCAGGGGGCGCCCCCGGGCCAGGAGGCATCAGCTAGTTTCTTGTTCCCCAGGAGCCAATACTAGGCTGACACAAAGTTTGCAGATGAACACTCTTGTTTAAATAATCGTGAAAACATAAAGTAACAAGTCTCAGGGTTCAAATGCCTCATTCAGCATTAAAGCTGCAGAACTGTAAACTAAGAACTGTAACAGAGGCATTTTTTTTTTTTTTTTTTGACAGGCAGAGTGGACAGTGAGGGAGAGGACAGAGAGAAAGGTCTTCCTTTGCCGTTGGTTCACCCTCCAATGGCCGCCGCGGCCGGCGCACCGCGCCGATCCGATGGCAGGAGCCAGGTGCTTCTCCTGGTCTCCCATGGGGTGCAGGGCCCAAGCACCTGGGCCATCCTCCACTGCCTTCCCGGGCCACAGCAGAGAGCTGGCCTGGAAGAGGGGCAACCGGGACAGAATCTGGCGCCCCGACCGGGACTAGAACCCGGTGTGCTGGGCCCAGGTGGAGGATTAGCCTAGTAAGTCGCACCGCCAGTCAACAGAGGCATTTTTATATCAAAAAAGCTGTTAGAAATTGTTAGAAATATTTGAAAACAAAGGTTTAGGGGCTGGTGCTACGGAGCAGCAGGTTGAGCTGCTTCCTTCGATGCTGGCATCCCATGTGGGCGCTGGCTCCAGTCCCGGCTGCTCCACTTCTGATCCAGCTTCCTGCTAACGTGCCCGAGAAGGCAGCTGAGGATGGCCCAGGTGCCTGTGCCCCGACACCCGTGCGGGAGACCAGGCGGAGTTCCCAGCTCCTGGCTTTGGTCTGGCCTAGCCCGATGGTTGTGGTCACTTGCAGAGTGAACCCGCAGTTAGAGAAGATCTCTCTCTCCCCTGCCTCTGTCATTCTACATGAAATAAATATATTTAAAAAAAAAAGAGAGAGAGAGAAATTTATGGGACTGGCGTTTGGTGTAGCGTTAAGACACTGGCCGAGGTGCTGGCATCTCACCTGTGAGTGCCTGGGTTTGAGTCCTGGCTTCAGTCTCAACACCAGCTCCCTGCTCGTGCGTGCTCTGGGAGGCAGCAGGTGAAGGCTCTAGGACTTGGCTGGGTCCCTGCCACCCACAGGGAGACCCGGGTTGTGTTCCAAGCTGCTGGCTTCAGCCTGGCCCAGCTCCAGGCACTACAAGCACTTGAAGTGTGAACCAATGATAGAAGCTACCTGTCCTTTTGCCTCTCAAATAAAATAAGTACAAATTAAAACAAGAGGCCAGCGCTGTGGTGCAGGTTAGTCCTCTGCCTACGGCGCCGGCATCCCATGTGGGTGCCGGTTCGAGTCCCAGCTGCTCCTCTTCCAATCCAGCTCTCTGCTGTGGCCTGGGAAAGCAGCGGAAGATGGGCCAAGTGCTTGAGCCCTGCACCTGCATGAGAGACCGGGAAGAAGCACCTGGCTCCTGGCTTCGGATCAGTGCAGCTCTGGCCATTGCGGCCATGTGGGGAGTGAGCCAACGGAAGAAGACCTCTCTCTCTGTCTCTCCCTCTCACTGTGTGTAACTCTACCTCTCAGATAAATAAATGTTTTTTTAAAAAATTAAAATGAAAAGAAACGTTTATTATTAGGGTCCTTATTAACTCGATTCTTGGTTATATTCCTATTAATTCAGAGAATAAATATGAATTATCAAAACCCCTAAAGTCTATAATTGAGAGAAAATTGTTTTATTAGTGCATACACTTAAACATAACATTACTCATCAACAGTAGATAGCAAAGCGGGGGTCTTGTCAGACCTTTAGAAACACGTAAGAACTGTTCGGTGCATTGGTGAAGATGTTGCTCGGGACACCCCGCCCCACAGGGGAGTCCCAGCCCGCTCTGGATCCCAGCTCTGACGGCACCATGTTCACAGCCAAGAGTGGCTTCAGTGATTAGGTCCCTGTCACACATGCCGGGAGACCAAGACAGCTCTGGGCTGCTGGCTTCAGCCTGGCATGGCCCTGGCTGTGGTGGGCATTTGGGGAGGGGACCCGATACGAAGATCTCTCGTCTTTCTGTCCCTCTGCTTTCAATATATAAAGCTCAGGAAGAACAACAACAAAAGAAAATGTCATCGATTACCAGTAACTCAAACCCTGACCAAGGGTAGAAGCCCTCAGGATAAAAAGGTGTGTTCTGTCTGCTGTGCTAGTCACCTTGCGAGGCCCACAGCAGCATGAAGGAAGCTTGGACAGGGCTCCGCCTCCAGTGAAGGCTCTGAACTGGGATGTCACTGAAATCCTCTGCAACTACGAAACCAGACGCGAGGCCTCGATGGCGAGTGCGAGTTCTGGTGCCAGACGCTGGGGCTGAGGCGCGGCTCCTCCCTCGCGGGCTGAGGGACCTGGCGTGGCTGCCGGCTCCTCCGCGTGGCGGGTCCCTTGTGTAAAGTGGGAACAGCAGCTGTGCCCCCTCGCAGGGCTGCTGCTGAGATGGGCTAGCGTCCACTCAACAGGCGCTGTGCGAGGACTTTCAGGAGCTGCAGGACTGACAGGTGCTCTGTGCAGAGCACAGCAGGGTGCTCACACTCCCCGCGCTCTCCACTCCACAGACAAGGCCCCCTCCTTATCCACCCCTCCACGCCGGCTCCCACTGCACCCACACCTCCTCTCCTGGGCTGACTTATCATGACACTCATTTTCAAACTGAAGTAGTCCCAAGCAACCAGGGATATTTAGGGCAGTTTTGACAGTCTCCAGAAAGCAAGCTGTAGCCAAACAGCCTCGGCCCAGACCTCTGCAGCTTCTCCCCTGGCCTCAGGAGCGCGTGCTAGTCACCTCGGCCTGCAGGCCGGACAGAGCAGTCTGCAGGTGCCCTGGGTGACCCAGCGGCGTGTGGGACAGGCAGTCTGCAGGTGCCCTGAGTAACCCAGCGGCATGTGGGACAGGCAGTCTGCAGGTGCCCTGGGTGACCCAGCGTCGTGTGGGACAGGCAGTCTGCAGGTGCCCTGAATAACCCAGCGGCGTGTGGGACAGGCAGTCTGCAGGTGCCCTGAATAACCCAGCGGCGTGTGGGACAGGCAGTCTGCAGGTGCCCTGGGTGACCCAGCGGCGTGTGGGACAGGCAGTCTGCAGGTGCCCTGGGTGACCCAGCGGCGTGTGGGACAGGCAGTCTGCAGGTGCCCTGGGTGACCCAGCGGCGTGTGGGACAGGCAGTCTGCAGGAGCCCTGAGTGACCCAGCAGCGTGTGGGGTCTGTAAGCCACTCCCTGTCGAGGCACTAACTGAGGCACGATGCTGCTCGTCAACCAGTGACAAACAACGGCCTTGCCAGACGGTCCCAGGCTGCTGGTCACTCCGGCCTACACTTTCCTTCTGAGTAAATCCCAATTACTCTATCTGCAGTCACTTGACAGGCCCCTCCCCTTCCTTCGACTCTACTTTCTTTGGAATGGAAGGCAGCCTTGCCATCCTTAGCGCCTTCCCAGCGCCCAGACGCTGCTGGTACTGACGGAGCAGGGTCTCAGTAGCTTGCGGCACTAATTATTTTGGGGAGAGCTAGTTCCGATGCTGCCACAGGGAAATGCAACAGATGCAGAACCGAAGGTTGGACTCGTATTTGTCAAAAGGAGTTCCTAAACTCGACCTTGTGGCTTGAAACCAGTAATTAAAAAAAATAGTACAGCAACTAGGACAGCACGGAAACCTCAGGATGCATCCAGCGTGGCGAGGCTGCCTACAGGCTTGTGACACGTCTGTCCACACGCAAGCTGCACCTCTGGGATGTTAACTACAGTCAACCTCGGGGGCGGGGGCTGCCACTCTGGAGCCTCGGTTTTCCCCACCGTAAAGTACAGATAATCGGTTCCCACAGGACGCCACCGAGAGCAGTCAGGCAGTCACTTACTTACTCAGCACCCACAACACACAACCAACGCCGCCAGGAAATCCTCATTCATTCATTCACTCAACGAGCGGCCCCTGAGGAGACCTGCAGGTGGAAAGGATGGGTCCTGAGGATAATGGAGAATGATCACAGCAGAGGGAGAGCCGGGACAGCAGGGTGGACAGTGGGGTGGGCCAGGAGCTGCGGAGCGTCGAAGACCAAGGACCGATGAGACAGACTGTGTAGGGCTGGCGGGGCCCCCAGAAGACTTGGCTTTTCGCTACGTGACAAACAGGCAGCCGCCGGAAGATTCTGGGCAGTGCAGTGACAAAGCCCCTTGTCACACTGTAAAGGCATGAGTCTGGCCATGTTGTTGAGAACACACCAAGGAGGATGGCGCAAGGGTGGAAACCACAGGAGGTCAGAAGTCTACGCAATGACCCAGGTGAGGGATGATGGCGGCCAGCCCAGGTGGGGGCAAAGGCAGTCATGGGATTCCTCATGGAGGGCCAGCAGGTAGGAGAAGGGGAGGAGTTAGGGACAGCTCCATTCTGCCAGGGTAACTGGAGGACGTCCTACATGGAGAGGGGCTTGGCAGACAAGCCCGGGGGTCAGACTGCTCTCCTGAGTTCGTTCTGGTATCCTGGACGCGAGCAGAAACCTGCAGGGAACGCACCCTGCTCTTACGGGCACCCTTTCCTGCTCCCCGGGATCCCACCTAAACACCCGCATCTGCACGCCCGTCTCAGGCTGCTCTTGGGGGAGCCCAAGCCAAGGCACCCACCGGCCGGCTGAGGGACGTGAGATTTGCTATGTTCCTCAACAGGGAGCGCACACCGTGCCAGTCACCTGCACCTGCGCCGAGGAGCACACACTGTGCCAGTCACCTGCACCTGCGCCGAGGAGCACACACTGTGCCAGTCACCTGCACCTGCGCCGAGGAGCAACGTGGAGCACACTGTGCCAGTCACCTGCACCTGCGCGGAGGAGCACACACCGTGCCAGTCACCTGCACCTGCGCCGAGGAGCATCGTTCTCCTACTTCTTCATCCTCTGGGACGGCTTCCGTCTTCACGCTCTCCTCCAATGAACGCGCTCCCTGTCTCTGAGTAACACCTGGGCAGGCGTGTGTGCTGCCTATAGTGCCAGCACCCCTGAGTGTTGGTTTGAGTCCAGCTGCTCCATTTCTGATCCAGCTCCCTGCTGATGTGCCTGGGAAAGCAGCAGTAGGGGCCCAAGTGCTGGGGCCCCTGCACCCACGTGGGAGATCTGGATGGAGTCCTGGCTTTGGCCTGGCCCAGTCCTGGCCATCTGGGGAGTGAACCAGAGGGTGGGTGACCTATCTCTCTCTAACTTTGCCTTTCAAACAAATAAATTTAAAGAAAAAGATCCTTGTTTTTACACCTTTGATTATTAAATCTTGGAAACAACAGTAGATATGTGCATCGCATTTAACCTGAACATAATAAAAGCTAACAGCCGCACGCTGTGAGCAGCCTAGCAGAGCCCCGCGGCTGGCGGGTGTAGACGGAATCCCCAAACCTTTCTACTCCTCTACTACTCAGGACTCGGATTAGGCCTGCTTTGTTGCTCGGTGTATTAACGTATTTTCCTGATCCAGACAGAATAAATCTGCTGGCACATCAAACTGCACATTCTAACTATGAAAACCTCAGAAGACAGTGCCTCTCGTGCACAAATAGAGATGCCCCCTAACTCACAACAGGGTTGTGTCCAGATAAAAGACCCGTAGTACACGTCCATGTAACCCACCGGCCACCCCGCATAGCGTCAGGGGTCTCCCTGGTGACCGCGGGGTGATGCCAGCATCAGGGACGACAACCACGTAGTGCTAACCCGGAAGAGGGCCAGGCTCACAATCCAAAGCATGGTTTCTACTGAAAGCATCACACTTCTCCATCATCAAGACGCAGAAAAAGCCCAAGTCCAGTCCTCCTAAGCCGGGCTGCACGGACCGCTGCTGCTGTCTCCGGCCCACTCCCTTCCCACTGCTCGTCTCGACCCGACCCATCGCTGCAGGATTTCTGCCACTGAAGTCGCAGCGGGAAAACCTTGGGGCTCGTGGAAACATGGGTGAAGTGCGCACAGACGGCCTGTTTGAGCTGCAGGAAAAGCTGAGCAAAAACCGCATAGGAAAATCAGAATCTGGAACAGGGCGTCCCACTAACCACGGGAATTCTCGCACACATTTCCCAAACTCTGCCGCAGCTCCATTTCATGTTGTCTCCTGGCATTCCAAAATGAGACATCATTATGGTCAGGATTCATGGAAGACAGTACAGTTCCACGGAACAGCCTCTCCCATCGGCCTACTTGCCGCCGATCCCGGCTGTGCCGCTGGCTGGGTGTGCAACCTCTCACGGGCCAGGTGACCTGACCTGTTACTCGGGGCTAACGCTACCCACGGCTGACACTTCTGCGAGGAGATGCAGCGTGCTTGCAGGCCTTGGGTGTGTGCAGCCCTCCCACCGGGCAAGCGCACTTCTTCCCTCCTTACTTCCTGTGCCCTGCCCTGCACAGGTCGCAGCCGGCACTGGGTGGGGACAGCCAGCTGACCGCCTTGCTCCCCAGCGGCTCAGACTCCCGGACAGAGCAGACAGGAGTATGATGAAGGAGGCAGAGGGCTGTGACAACGCTCGCGTTAGGAGCACAGTGGGGAACGGGTGGGTGAGTGACTGGTGAGGACGTGAGGGAAGACACGGGATCCATCATTTACCTGACAATTACAGTAGTCAAAGGCTCTAATCCTCAAATCTCTACCACATCCACTTTTTGAAATGTTCATCTGATCTTGGTGGGCTTAAAACTCCTGGAGGCGGGGCTGCAGCCGTGGTGTAGTGGGTAAAGCTGCCGCCTGCAACGCTGGCATCCTATGTGGGCATCAGTTCGAGTCCCGGCTGCTCCACTGCTGGTCCAGCTCCCTGCTAATGCACCTGGGAGAGCAGTGGAGGACGGCCCAAGCCCTGGGCCCCTGCACGTACGTGGGAGACACGGAATTCCGACGCTCCTGGCGTCAGACTGGCCCGGCTCCGGCTGTACAGCCAGCTGGGGAGTGAGCCAGCAGATGGAAGATCTCTGCCTGCTCCCTTTCAAGTAAAGAAGCGGCCTCAGGCCCCCAGAGCGCTCTTGAGAAGCGAAGTCCTCGACAGCTGCATGCAGACAACCCTCCACGGCACCTTCAGTCCCTCTGCACACGCGCCAAGGGGCAGGGCTCCCTCACACGTTTAACTCCCCCTAAGTGCTCTCTGCTTGCAGGGAGGAAGATGTGGGGCACACGGGACAGCGGGTGGCTTTGGGATCCAGATCATTCTGCAGAAAGAAGGAAGCAGAGCACAGTGGGGCACCAGGAACGACAGCAGGAAGTGAGCAGCGAGACAGGGACGGCGAGACAGTCCCAGCAGACCCGGGCTGGGCTGGGAGCTAAGGCACGAGTCAGCCGATTCCAGGACTAGCCCAGGACATCCTCACAGATCCTGCAGGAAAACGCCTCTTGACGTCCAAAACATCAACCTGACACTGAACCCAGGGAACGCTGGTCCTTGGGAATGTCGTAGACCGCTCACACAGTCCTGACCATGACACTGGGAAAACAGGGGTGCATGGAACAGGAGAACATGTGGTAGAAATCCTAAGGCCTACGCTTGGACAGAGCTCACCCCGAGCCCGCACCTCTCTCCATCTGATCTTGCTCTCGACAGTACAAGTCGGTTCTCAGAACTTATCTGAAAGCCTCGGATTTCAAAGCCAGGCTGGCTGAGGTGACCCCTTGGGGGAGAGTCGCGTTACGGCCTCACACGCCATCTCCAGCCCCTCTCTGGGATTTGATCTTGGTGCAGAGGTGCATTCTCGGCCACATCCAGCCAACGGCCCCCCCGTCACCTGGCTCGGCCCCTATTCTGCCCCTCGGGTCACAGAGCTGTGGTTCTGCCGGCCGCCCCAGACACTGCTCTTCCCGGCGACAGTCCCGTTTTCACTCTGGGGTAGGCACACACTAAGCCAAGCCAACTACAGACTCTCTCCCTGGCAGAGGGCTCCTGAGAGAGCGAAGACAGTGAGTGACCGCCTGAACCCACGACACTGCCTGCTACAGATTGCTGGGCTCCGCTTGGTTTTTGTCCTTCCTGACCCATATATATACATTTTAACAGTTTCTCCTGAAACTCCAAGAGCAGCCAGTATCTTTACAATAAACTCCTGTCTCTACTGAAGCCAATCAGTTTCTGCTCATTATTAAAGAACTCAACCAGCTCCCTCACGGGGACGCACTCTCCCCATCCCGCCCCCCGCTGGCAGACTGAGCCCCAAACACTGCTCGGGTGACCCATGACCATCAGTAAATCGGCTTATTTACTGCCTCCATGTGCAGGCATGGCTGGATGTGTCTCAAACACAGGCGTGCTCACACAGAGCAGGCCCGCCGCTCCCTGGTGAGGTCAACCGCTGGCTTCCGTTTGTGCGGAGCGCCTGGAGGGGCACCGCGGGAGCCCGGCTGGTTGCAGGAGTAGGGATTCAGAGGGGACGGCGAGGACACCCTGACGAGATTTCAGTTGAGACCTAGGGTTTGAATGAAGAGTCAGCCCTGACCTCAGCCAGACAAAATAACGGGCTGGCGTTACGGCACAGCAGGCCACGCAGCTGCCTGCAATGCTGGCGTCCCATCCGGGTGCCACTTCAAGTCCTGGCTGCTCCGCCTCCGATCCAGCTCCCTGCTAAAGCGCCTGGGAAAGCAGTGGAAGATGCCCACGTGCTTGGGCCCCTGCACCCGCGTGGGAGAGAGACCCCGGCTCCTGGCTTCCACCTGGCCCGGCCCCGGCTCTTAGGGCCACTTGAGGAGTGAACTAAGGGGATCTTTCTGTGCCCCTCTCTCTGTAACGGTCTTTCAAATAAATAAATAAATCTAAAAATTAAAAAAATAAAAGCAATAGGTCTCCATTAAGCTAAAATGCAAAATTTGTTGAAACACAAACCATCTGGCTTCAGACTCTAAAATTCTTCGTCCCTCGTGTGTCCCCTGTGGCAATGCCCTGCTGGTTGCCTTGTCTGAGACACCCCTGCAGCCCGTCCTAGCCCCTCCGACCCCCGCTCCTGCAAACATTCGCCCCGTTCACGGCGCACGGAGCGTCTGCTGTGGGCTGACCTGCCGGCCCCACCCATTCAGACGTCCAGGTCCTGATCCCTCGCGCCTCACACTTGCAGACCAAATCTTTAAAGAGGTAATGAAGTCAGAACCAAGTCTTCAGGGTGGGCCGTGACCCGACACGGCGGGGCCCTTCCCGCACCGTCCACCCTGGACCTCCCGGGATCTGCTGTGAAAGCCGCCCGGTCTGCGGCAGCCACGCGAGCCTTCCTCCTTCCTCCGTACTCACTGCACACGGAGCAAACCTGCACCCGAGCCCCGCGCCAAGAGTTGCCTGTTCCCTGCCTGCGCCGTTAGCCGAGCCCCGCGCCAGGAGTTGCCTGCTCCCTGCCTTCGGCGTTAGCCGTTTACGCCTCCCCAGGACGATGCAGGCAACTCAGGGCTGACCATGTGTCACGCTATCCACAGGCCCAGCGCAGTCTCCCGGGCACACGTCTCTCACCCTAGGAAGACGGCGGCGGCTGTCCCGCTCCGTGTCGGCACCCTCTGATGTCCATGCGACGGTGACATCACCGTCCAGCGGCACATGCCTGCGCCGTCCCTCTGGGCACTGGCGCCGTTATTCCCGGCGAGCTCTGGTTTCCACCTGTGGAGCCCTAACGTCCGGCACAAGGCCGGACAGGTACCTGCTGGGCAGGCAGAGCCATCGTCCACCCTCCCGCTGAAGGGCCGGAGCTGCGTCTGCACCGCGCCGGGCAGCTTTTCCTACGAGATCCGTGTGCCTTTAGTGCCTACCCCACAGTCACAGACCTCGCGGGGCTCCAGCTCCGGGGCCGACTGCACGCTGCCCTCCAGGCGCCCCACACGTCCGGCGTGCCCCCTGCTTGGCCTGGTGTGCTGCCGGCCTCCGGGCCTCTCTTCTTGGTCCCCTCCAGCCACTGGCGGCCACCTGTCAATCCCCCTTCTTCCACAGGCCCCGAGGCTTTGGCGACAGCTAAGACGGCTCCTCCCAGGTCACATCCAGTCCCCTACCACACGGTACCATCCCTACAGCCCCCATTCCTTTACACACTCGTACTTAGGGGTCGAGTTCAACCTGACGGCCTGCACCCATAGCCGTGGGTGAGTGGACCTAAGAACAATGTCCAGGGGCCAGGGCCGGGGCGCGGCGGTTCCGCCGCTCCTGCCACACCGGATCCCACGTGGGTGAGCGAGGGTCCCGGCCGCCCACATCCCGACCAGCACCTGCTAAGGCACCGGGCAGAGCAGCAGAGGCCACCAGGTGCCTGGGCCCCTGCACCCGTGTGGGGGCCCTGAGTTCTAGGGCCCCGGCTGTGACCAGTGGATGGGAGATCTGTCCCTAACCCTGCCTCTCAAAAAAAAAAAAAAAAAAAAAAAAAAATTAAAAACTTTCAAGGAGAAATTTCCCTACAACCAATCCGCTCGCTCTCGTCTCCTTGGCAGAGTCGGAGACGCGGCCCGGGCCCCCGATGACTCAGGGTCAGCACCACCAACCGCCGGGCTGTGCAGTAGCCCAGACGCCCGCCCAGGCCCGCGGTGCCTGGAAAAACCCGACCCCAGGCTGGGCGAGGTCCGACTCCCGCGCCGGGCAGGCCCCCCGCCCCCGCCCCCGGCCCCAGCCCCCACCTCCGAACGCGCCGCTCGGGTGCAGCTCCCCGGAACCACGCGGCGGCCGCGGGCCGGGGCCGGCTACGACCGAGGCATGGCCGTCCGCACGCGGGCTGCGGAGCGCAGCCAGGGGCACAGGCCGGGACACGGGGGCCGGGGGCTGCGGGGCGGCGGAGACGCGGCCGGCGGCCGAGCAGGTGGGCTGCGGCCCCCAGGGGTCGGACACGGGGGCTTCGGGGTCTGGGAGGGCGTCCGCGGGAGGGGTCTGGGGAGGGCACGGGGGGCGCGCCGGGCGGTCATGCTCGCCCGCCGGGCGCAGGGGCGGGCGGCCGAGGGCTCCGGGACCGGCTGCAGGTGCGGGCGCCCCCGGCCGCCGTCCCGCTTCCGGGCACGCTGCTCGCCGCTGCGGGCCCGACGGCCGCCCCGGGCCGCCCCCGCCTCCGCCCGGGCGCGCGCCCCTCCCGCGAGGCGTTTCAACGGCTCCGCGCGGGGGGCGCGAGCCCGGGGCAGCGCGTCCGCCGCCCCCGGGGCAGCCCGGCCACGGCGAGCGGCGAGGCCCGGCAGCGCACGGCGCATGCGCAGTGGCGAGGGCGAGGCCAAGTGCGGGCACGGGGCATGCGCAGTGCGAAGGCACACTGGGCTACGTGGGAGCCCGGGGCATGCTCGGTGAGCGCCCAGGCCCCGCGCAGGCGCAGAAACGCCCGCCGCCCGCAACCCGCTGGTGAAGAAAAAAGCGGAGAGAAATCACCTCAGAGTTACGTCAGGAAAGGCCGCGTTTTGCGGGGAGGCAGGAGCCTCCCACGGGGCCCCGCCGTTCTCCCGGAACGACAGGCGTGACGGTTACTCACCGCTCTTCAGCCCCGAGGCAGACGCCGGGCCCCTTTCCGCTCACACTCGGCTCGCGCGCGCCGCAGCCGCCGCTGCCGCTGTGATTCCATCCATCTTGAATTTGACGTCATCCCACACCAGGGATGAAGTCATCGCAGGCAGCGCTCGTCACGTGCGCGGGCCTCCGATTGGCTGCCGGGCGCCGGGGGCGGGGCGAGCGAGGGGGCGGGGCCGGGAGGGCGGGCCCGCCGCGCGCCGCGGCCGTGGCGCCCCCGCGCCCCGCGCCCCGGCCCCACGCCCCGCGCCCCGCGCCCCGCGCCCCGCGCCCCGGCCCCGCGCCCCGCGCCCCGCGCCCCGCGCCCCGCGCCCCGGCTCTGTGAGGGGAGCCGGCGGCGGCGGCGGGGAGGAGGCGGCGCCGGAGGACGCTGCCGCCCGGCGGGAGCTGCTGCTGGGGGTGCTCGCTGCCGTGCCGCGGCGCGTGGGGGCGCGGCCGGCGGGGCGTCCTCTCCGCCCGGGGTCCCTCGCGGTGGGGCCGCTCGTGGGGCGCGGCGCCGGGCCCGCGGTGGCCCCGGGGGAGCGGGCCGTGGCCTCGCGTGGCGGCTCCCGTGGCGTCCACGTCGCGGGCGGGAGCGGTGTTTTCGGGTCTGGAGAAACGGCCCGGGGGCCGGCTCTCCCCGTGATCCGGTCCCCATCGGGCCCCGTGGACGCGGCTCCGCTCCCGCACCGTGAAGTGGGGCGGGAACGCGGGGGCCGGCCCTGCCCGCGGAGCCCCTCTCGGTTCTAGAACAGGCTGGAAGGTTCCTGGGCTCTGTTGATCTCCCAGAGAGGGGGCTTCCGGCCGCTGGCGCGCTCCCCAGCTGGCGGCAGGGCCAAGCTTCCGGGTCTCCCACGCGGGCGCAGGGGCGCAAGCACCCGGGCCGTCGCCCACGGCCCTCCCAGGCCACAGCGGAGAGCTGGACCGGAGGGGCGCAGCCGGGACTCGAACCGGCGCCCACGTGGGATGCTGTTGCCGCAGGCCTGGCGTAGCTCCGCACGCCGGCCCCTTTACTACTTTTCCAGGTGTATCTGGCTTTTGGAGCCTGAGCTGATGCACGTGGCCAGGGCTAACGTGATTTTGCGCGGCCTGAAGCGTGTGATCTTGCGTCAGGCGGATGGGAGTTGCAACTTGGTGCCTCCGTTGGAGATGTCTTAGCTCCCCTCGTTCCTGGGGAGACCCGGGACCCGGAAAATTTTTTCCTAGAGCTCTTTAACAGCGTTGACGCCTGTCTTTCTACTTTGAACTATTGTGGTAAAACAGAAAGTGGCTTTGCGTTTGAAAGACGGTGGGAGGAGCAGCCATTGTCTTTCAGAGTCCCAGCCTTGGCTCCCCTGGCCTGGGGCGCCCCAGCCCCGCCTGGCCACCGCGACTCCCCGCTGCCTGCAAGAAGCAGACCTGGCCGCGGCGGGCGCACCAGCCCCGCCTGGCCACGGCGCTGCCTGCCTGCTGGTGTTCAGGACAAGCTTCCTCGGCCGGGCGCACACCGCGGTCTCCACTGTAAACCGCGTGGTCGGCTTGGGCCCTCACCGGCTCACTACCACCTGGCGCCGAATCCAGCCGAAGCCTCCGGCCCCCGAGCCGGCTCCTTCAGAGCCAGGGGCTGCAGCTCTCAGCCCCAGGCTTCCTGTCTGAGCTGACGGCGCCTCTGCCCTTGCCTGTGCACACACTGGGGTTCCCCCTAGGGGCGCAGGCGGTGGCTCTGGCTACACTCGCAGCTGTGCGGTCTCGTCCGTCTGGGCAGAGCCAGGCGCTTGCCTGGGCGCCGGCCTCGGCCCCTCCCTGCTGTGTGTCCTCCCGGGCTGACCCCTGAACGTCTCAATCACTTTTTCCGCCCTGGTTTCCCATCTGCGCGCACAGCCTCCGCACTTCTCTCTGCAGTCGCCTTCCCTGTGCACCAGAGTGGGCGTTGAGAAGCCGGGGTTGCGTAGCGTTTCCCGGCGCAAACTGCGGTGTGCGGGGTGCGGAGGAGATGGCTAGGCCGCGCCCCCACCCCGCGCAGGCGCGCTCTCCTCTGGACAAGTCTCCCTCTGTCTCGAGTGCTGCCGACCACACGCTTTCTCCTTGGTGTTTATCTGCAAGGCAGAGAGCGAGCGAGCGAGCTTCCTGCTGTTGGCTCGCTCCCCCAGTGCCTGCCACAGCCGGGGTTGGGTCCGCCTGAGCCGGGAACCAGACTCCGCCTGGGTCTCCCACGCGGGTGGCGGGGACCCAGGCACTTGAGCCGTGAATCTGCTGCCTCTTCAGCGCATGAGCAGGATTCTGGGCCTGAAACAGATGGGAGACTCGAACCCGGGCCATCCAGTGTGCGACGCGGCGCCCCGAGCTGTGGCCCAAGCTGCTGTCCCGTGACGCCCGCCACGCCGGGATCTGTGGCCCAAGCTGCTGTCCCGTGGCGCCCACCGCGCCCCGAGCTGTGGCCTAAGCTGCTGTCCCGTGGCGCCCGCCGCACCCCGAGCTGTGGCCCAAGCTGCTGTCCTGTGGCGCCCACCGCAGCGCGTGCTGTTTCTGAGATGGGTTCATCTTCCTGGCTGTGGACGCCTCGGGTCCTTGGGTCCTTGGGTCCTGGCCCTCTCCCCGTCTCCCTGCGCCTTCCCCAGCCCCTGCTCAACCCCATTCTGGGTTTGGCGCCCCCTTCTGTCGGTTTCGCTAGTGCCCCCTGTGTGGGAGCTGTTGGATTTGCCTGCCAACCCTCGCATCCCCCAGGAGGCTGGCTCCCCTCTGCCCAGCCCGTGCCTGGCCTATCGTAGGAGCTCGGCATTTGTGTTGTGCAAACTCCGAACACGGAAGCATTCACACAGGACCTCTGGCACCAGGCACACAAACATGTATTTGTCTGAACATCCACGTCGTGTGTTTGGCCGTGTTCTTGTTAGACGTCTCCATCTGGGTCACCGGAGCTATGCACGCAGGCGAGCTCGCAGCTGGACTTCCTGTGCGTCCCTCGTCCCCTCAAAGGGCAGCTGTGCCCGCTGCCTGCGCCAGGAAACGCCGTGGTTATTCTCAGTGTCCACTCAGCAGCGCTGAGTCCTCTCAGGCCACCTCATCCATGCCTTTCCAGCCTGTCCTCTGCTGTGCCTGGCCACCAGCAGCTCTGGCCAATCTGTAGCCACCCAAACAAGTCTGGGTTGGGGCCGGTGCTGTGGCCCAGCGGGTTAAAGCCGCCGTCTGCAGCACCGGCATCCCATATGGGTGCTGATTCAAGTCCCAGCTGCTCCACTTCCGATCCAGCTCTCTGCTATGGCCTGGGAAAGCAGTGGAGGATGGGCCAAGTGCTTGGGCCCCTGCACCCACGTGGGAGACCCGGAAGAAGCTCCTGGCTCCTGGCTTCGGATCAGCGCAGCTCCAGCTGTTGCAGCCACTGGGGAGAGAACCAGCAGATGGAAGACTGACCTCTCTCTTTGCCTTTGCCTCTGCTCTCTCTAACTCTGCCTTTCAAATAAATAAATACATCTTAAAAAGTCTGGGCTTCAATTTTGAATCCTTTCCCGCCCAGTCTAATCTGTTTTTAGTCAAATCCCCTCTGATCGCCTAGCTCTGCTGCGGAGCCCCGCCCTCCCGTGACTTCTGGGTGTCTGCGCCTCAGGACGGGGGTGGGGGGTGCTGCCCAGCGGGTGGCTTTGCTCTGGACCTGCCTCAGGCTCCCCACCTTCCTCTTCCATTTGCCCAGCAAACCCCGGTTTCTCTCCCATGAGTCAGCCCAAGGCTGCCCCCCCCTTGGCCTCCGTGGCCCCGGTGATGGCTGTGCGCCCCAGGAGGCTGCCTTGCCCTCTGGTTGGCGCGCTCTGTCGGGGCAGAGGCCGTGTCTGGTCGCCTGTGTGCTCCAGAGCTTTGGGCCCTGCTGGGGCTGTGCGCTGGGCCATCTCCCCACAGCTCGCGTTTTCCCGCAGAGGCAGTGTTGCAACGATGGCCACTTGTGTGGTGTTTGTAATACTACAGTCCTGTTTGTGTTTCCTGTGCCAACACACACAGCCTTGTCGTGAGCTGGGGGTTTAGTGCGTAGGCCTCTGCGTGCCTGGAAGCGGGACGTTTGACTCAGCGGGATTCTCTGAACCGTCGTTTTCTTCGGAACACTGTCTGGTCTCCAAGTTCGCCCAGCCTGTGGTGTTCGTGGCTGTCCCTTTAAGAAACTGGGCTGGAGCAGAGTGGTGACTTCCCTGGGATTGTTGTGACAGATCACCATGGTAACCTGGTGACTTCAAACACCAGAAATTCATCCTTGCTCGGTTCTGGAGGCCGCAGCCTCCCATCTGGGTCCTGGGCAGACATCAGGGTACAGGCAGGGCCGTCTCCCATCTGGGTCCCTGGGCAGACATCAGGGTACAGGCAGGGCCGTCTCCCATCTGGGTCCCTGGGCAGACATCAGGGTACGGGCAGGGCCGTCTCCCATCTGGGTCCCTGGGCAGACATCAGGGTACGGGGCAGGGCCGTTCTCCCATCTGGGTTCCCTGGGCAGAAATCAGGGTACGGGCAGGGCCGTCTCCCATCTGGGTCCCTGGGCAGACATCAGGGTACGGGCAGGGCCGTCTCCCATCTGGGTCCCTGGGCAGACATCAGGGTACGGGCAGGGCCGTCTCCCATCTGGGTCCTGGGCAGACATCAGGGTACGGGCAGGGCCGTCTCCCATCTGGGTCCTGGGCAGACATCAGGGTACGGGCAGGGCCGTCTCCCATCTGGGTCCCTGGGCAGACATCAGGGTACGGGCAGGGCCGTCTCCCATCTGGGTCCCTGGGCAGACATCAGGGTACGGGCAGGGCCGTCTCCCATCTGGGTCTGGGCAGACATCAGGGTACGGGCAGGGCAGTCTCTCCCATCTGGGTCCTGGGCAGACATCAGGGTACGGGCAGGGCCGTCTCCCATCTGGGTCCTGGGCAGACATCAGGGTACGGGCAGGGCCGTCTCCCATCTGGGTCCCTGGCAGACATCAGGGTACGGGCAGGGGCAGTCCCCTCCTTGGCCTCCTCCAGCT